TTCTCGTCTCAGTCCCAGACGATCACAAGATTTTCTGTCACTTGACCTCGGAGAACAAATGCCAATGGCGGATTTCGCGAGGGTAGGGGAGGGAAGGTCTTCCTTGTACAGTATTCTCTAAAAAAATTGACCAACCGTCTTTGGAGCGGTATTTTTCACTGAGTTGTGGGGACGTGGGGGCTAAGAGGGGTGGGGGCGGGGGGGGAGAGGCTGGCTTGCGCTCTGTCGCAATTTCTTCGGCCCCCACTCTCTGAATTTTCTGGATCCGCCCCTGAATGCTGTTTCCTTGCTGCCCGAATTTGGAAATAATAATAAAAACGTTCGGTCCTAATAGAAACAAACTGCCTTCCAGTAACAACCGCTTACAAGGCTGTACGGGTCGGCAGATGATTCCCGGACCACAAATGATCCCGGACTGCAAATGATCCCAAATTGGACCGCAAACGATCCCGGATCGGAAATGATCCCCATTTTGGACCGCAAATGATCCCGACCAAAAAATAAGGACTGGTATGGATGGTGGATTGGTGTGGATAAGGAATTGGCGTGAATAGCGATAGTTTCATTAAAACAATTTTAAATAATGGCTTACAACTACCTTCCATTTCATACTTTCGACTGAATTTTGTTGCTAACAATGCTGCTATGAATTGTACCAGTGAATTATTAAAATGGACTTGGGTTGCAGGCAGGAAATTTGATTTCTTTGCAATTTTAAAATTATGTCCAGATTCTTGTTGACAACGTAACATATGCTACATATGCTTCCATAGCTAAACATTACTATTTCGGTTTTATAGTAAAATCCAATTTTATCAGTCCATTAACGTCACCCGGCTGGCAGCAACGGGGCAACGGCAACAACTGAAGAACTCAATGGTCTAGAGTAATAAGCTTTCGTCCAACATGTGGTGCTACGGCTAAAGTTTCAAACTAAATTGAAACCATAAAATAAAGCAACTATTACAGACCCGAATAGACCTGTAAAACACCTTGTGTGTAGCATTCAATTTTTTTTTTCCAGATTCTGTAATTTTTCCTCGGCAGTACTTTTGCTTTGGTAGTTGGGATCCTGAAAAGCCATTGATTTCAGTACGGTAATGAAGCTCAGCTTAATGGCCAAACAAGGTCATTATATCTCCAGTGGCCTGTGCTTCGTTTTGACAATCACCTAGATAGATGACATTCAATCCCCTTTCTCCTGGTAATCAAGCATATTTTCTCCTATAGGCTTGATCATAGTTAGTAGGGGAGAGTCTCCTCTTCTAACTATGGCTTGATGTTTTCGCAACCGGAATAACGAGTATATTAACTAGGGCCCATAAAGCAATCCAGTCACCCCACTCATCAGCCATAGTCATTCTACGCAGATATATGTCCCGTTCTCCAAGAGTGATATATTCACTGAAATCAGTCCCGTCCAGGGTGGCTGAGTTAGTTCAGAGTTTACCGGGTCAGAACGCAATTTTGTGGCACTGTGCGATACTCTTCCGAGGCAAATTAGCTGGTCATTCGTCACAGGGAATAAACAGTTGCCATCTTTGTGGTTTGGCAGCTGGCGATTTGTA